AGATTGAAATGGTTGATACTACATCTGATGTTAATTTACCAGAAATTGTTGAACAGAATATTGTTGAGTCTGAGGTAGGATGTATTCTGACATATTAATTGGGTATCATAAAAACTATTCAATATATAATTTATAGATTCAATTGGTCGATGCTGATGTTAATTTAGTGAAGAACATTAACAAAGAACTGGAGAGTTTTGTTCAAACAAATGAAAAAGATACCACTTGTGATGTAATTACAACTTCTTATGATCACTCCGATCCTGCTAATTGGCCTCAGCTGTTAACTAATACAGATAAGTATGAAATTGTAAAACTAGGCCCAGTAAGAGTAGAGAATTATGATTTTCCCATAACTAACTATGAAAATGGTCAAAAAAGAAGGTTTACTGCAAATAATTACTATCGTAAGTTATCAAATGGTGATATGATTGATAGAAAATGGGTTGTTTATTCCAAAGTTAAAGACTCTGTTTATTGTTTTCCATGCAAAATATTCCAACAAAATAAACAAAATGAAAGTCATTTGTGTAATATTGGTCTAAAAGATTGGAAACATCTTTCAGAAAAATTAAAATCCCATGAAAGTTCAAAGATTCATTTTCAATCAATTCAATCTTGGATGGAGTTAAATGTAAGAATATCTAAAAACTTAACAATTGATAAAGAACATTTGGCCATTATTGAAAAGGAAAAAAATCACTGGAGAAATGTTCTTACTCGTGTGATTAGTATTATTCACTATTTATCCAAAAACAATGATACGTTCAGAGGACCATCGGAAGTCTTATTTACTAAAAGTAATGGTCATTTTCTTGGAGCAATTGAAATGCTAAATAAGTTTGATCCTGTTATTATAGAGCATTTAAAACGAATAAAAAACCATGAAACTCATGTGCATTATTTAGGGCACGAAATTCAGAAGGAATTAATTTCATTAATGGCAACAGAAATTCGAAAAAAAATTATTAATAACATTAAAAAGGCTAAATATTTTTCTGTCATAATGGATTGCACTCCTGACATTAGTCACAATGAACAGCTATCTCTTTTATTTAGAATAGTGAATATGAATGATAATAACACCCATAGTCCAGAAATTCAAGAATACTTTCTAGATTTTATCCCTGTTCAATCTACTACTGGATTAAATTTATCAAATGTACTTATTGATAAATTAAATGAATATGGTATTGACATTATGAACTGTAGAGGGCAAGCATATGACAATGGGTCAAACATGGTTGGTAAATATCAAGGGGTACAGACACGGGTAACCAATCAAAATCCAAGAGCATTTTTTACCCCATGTGCCTCTCATAACTTAAATTTAGTGCTTCGAGACGCAGCTAAAAATTCATCTAGGGCATCAACATTTTTTGGGACAGTACAACGAATATATACTATTTTTTCTGCATCAACTAGTCGCTGGGACATTTTCAAAAAATTTTGTAGTATTTTTACAGTAAAACAATGGTCGGAAACACGTTGGGAAAACCGAGTGAATAGTGTTAAAGCTCTACGATTCCAATTATCAAATATAATAGAAGCTCTAGAAGAAGTATCAGAAACAGCTAATGACTCAATTGCCAAAAGTGATGCTAGATCCTTAATTACTGAAATAAGTACATATGAATTTATACTAAGTCTAATAATTTGGTATGACATATTAGTTCAAGTCAACATAGTAAGTAAGAGTTTACAAGGGAAAGATGCAGATATTAATATTTCAAATGACATGTTACAAAGTTTATTAGCTTTTTTGAAATCTTACAGAGAATCAGGATTTATGAATGCTAAAATTATTGCTAATAATTTGGCAGAAGAAATTGAAGTTGAACCAGTATTTAAGAAAACCCGACCAAGAAAGAAAAAGAAAAATTTTGATTATGAAGGAAACGATGAAAGAATCAATGACGAAGAAGACAATTTTAGACAAGAATATTTCTTACTAGTTATAGATCAAGCAACTAGTTCAGTTGAAAATCGTTTTAAAC